TATGTAGTTGCCCATAGAAGTCTCGAATAATTTCCTTTTTCTCTTTATTGCCATAGCAAACTTGGCCTTGATCATCTATTAACTGCAATATTTTCCTTGATTCTTTCTCCTTTCTCAATTTGTATGCTAACCATCTACCTGGTTTATTTGCACCTTCAAAGTAGTTCTGTTTAGCACTTCTAATTTTCTGTGCCAATTCTTCTTTCTCTATTAGGCCCATTTTATGTTTGATTATGTCCAATTTTAATTTAATGTCTTTTTTCTGTGGCATTTTCTGCAGTTCTTTTTCAAGTCTTTTATGCTCATCTTCTAAAACTTTAGTGGCTTGCCTTTTCCCAATTTTTTTTTTCCTTATATAGTCTATTATCAAGCCTCTAGCATATGCCTTCATTGTGTCCCAGACATTCTGGATTGAGGTATCTTCTTTTTTATTTTCTCTAAAGAAAAGGGCCAATTCTTTCTCCATCCATTGTGTAAAGTCTTTTTCCTTTAAAATAGTATTATTTAGCGTCCATCTCGATCTTCTTTTTTGTCCTTTCCATTTAATTGTCATTGGATTGTGGTCTGCCCAAGTACTTGTTTCAATGTTTGTTTCTTGAATGTTAGATATTAGTTCTGTTGAGATCCAAATCATATCTATTCTGGACTGTTATGTCTCCTCTTGGAAATTCAAACGAACAAACATAAAGCAGCCGTTTCACAATTAAATCAAACGGAAAGAAGTCTTACAAGATAACGGCTGGCAGAAACCACAGCATAAATCTTTACTCTGTCCGGCAAACCAGTCCTGACAATAAATCCTCAACCTCAGAGCTCTTTGCTGTAACGTCCTCACTCAAATAGTCATTTTGTTTCTGGCGAAAGGCACCAGCTCAGCTGTGTCCTTTTATACCTATTAAGGCAACGTGCTAATTAACTGGCTTGCCCTTCAGATTAACGTTTCCTGGTTCTGATGTCAATCCACGATCTAACAGTCATCAGAGTCAAAACTCCCAACAGGACCGATCCTTCCAATCACAACACTATCCCCCACCGCAGGGCCCTTCCCCCGAGTCTGATGATTAACTTGACGATGTTTCGTTGACAACCCCACTCTGTCTCCCACAGCCAATGGAGGCGTCGCTCGTTCCAATTGTCTCAGGTGGTCTACACATTGGAGACTTGGAAAAGAAATACCGTTCTGCGACCAAGCCACCAACGGATTGTGCAAACGCAACCAGGACATTCCGAGCACCAAAGGGAGATGAAGGTTCGAGGTGATATAAAAACTTATTGCCTCCTCATGATCCCCAATGATCATACGCACTGGCTGGGTGGCGAAACGAATGGGCCCAGACTTGAGCTCACGCCCATCCACGTTTTCCACCTTAATGGGTGGATGTACAGCAACCAATGGGATCCCATAGTGCGTAGCAAAAGCTCAGTCCATAAAGCTGGTTGTAGCCCCTGAGTCCACCAATGCAACAGCGGGAATTCCCTCCTTCTGTGACTGTAGAAAAATTCGAGTGTCCAAAAGTAAATGCCGAGGAGGGCCAGGATTTACTTCAGCAATTTGAGGTGGGGATGTGAAATGTGTCCGACCTAGGGTTTCCTTGAGGTCAGGTCTACCCTGTTTTCCTGACGAGCCAAGAGTGGTTTCAGGTACGGGTCTGCGGGTCCCTCTCCGTTTGCAGGAATTAACAAAATGTCCCAGACCCCCGCAATAAAGGCACAAGCCTTCCTGGAACCTTCTCGAACGTTCTCGCACCGTTAAGCGAGGGCGGAGTGCGCCTAACTCCATCGGCTCCTCAACATTAACCGTGGGTTGTACACGAGAAAACGAAGATGGTTCCATACCGAGCCGTTTGCGTCCACGTTGCTGTAAACGAGCTTCAATTCGTAAGCACTGAACTATCAATGCATCCAAAGTTAAAGCCCTCTCTGCATGGACCAGCTCATCTTTGATGGCATCAGACAAGCCTTCCTGGAATGCAGCCATATGAGCCGGTTCGTTCCAGTTAACGTTTCCTGGTTCTGACGTCAATCCACGATCTAACAGTCATCAGAGTCAAAACTCCCAACAGGACCGATCCTTCCAATCACAACACTGGACCATGATAAATGTCTATTTGAATAAAAAGTACATTGTTTGGTTTTAGCATTTCTTTCTCTCCATATATCTTTTAAATTTAATTTGTCTGTCATTTTAAAAAAGGATTTAGGGAGAGTCTTTCTGTTATGCTTTGGTGTTGTTGTTGTTTAGTCCAATTTATTGTCTACAATTCCATTGAAATCTCCCATCATAACTATATTAACATAGTCCAGTCCAATTATTTTCATGTGTAATTTTTTATAGAATTCTTCTTGTTTATCATTCAGAGCATAAACTGCAATCAGGAGTGTTTTCATATTATTGTCCATTATTTCCACCATTAATACTCTTCCATCTTCATCAGTATGAATCAATTTTGCTGGGATAGTCTCTTTAATGTATAAAACCACTCCTCTTTTCTTACATTGAGTCAAAGAAGTGAATATTTTCCCTAATTTTGGCTGTACCAACAATTTTTCATATTGTTTTTTAATATGTACTTCTTGTAAACAAATTATATCAAATTTTAATTTCTCTAATTTATGAAAAATATTCCTTCTTTTAACAGCTGAGTTAAGTCCATTTATATTCATTGTAATCAATTTTTTTTCTTCCATGATTATATTTTGTAATTAGGTTTGGCAGCTCTCGTAGATCTTGGTTCACGTTGTTCTTTGATCTCCACCTGTCCACCTACTGCGCCTTACTCTTTTTCAGTCCCCATTTGGTCCTCTTGAAATTCAATTAGTGAGATCTCTTTTTCTGCCTCTTCCTCTCTCCTTCCAAAAAATTCTGTGTAGAATAATTCTGCTTTCTCAACTGAATCAATTCTGTGTCTCTGTTCTTGCCATGTAAACATTAGTCCTTCTGGAATCAGCCATCTATAATTCACCTCTTTTTTCAATAACATTTTAGTCAGGAATCGATATTCTCTTCTCATCTCTCTCACTCTTCTAGGTATTTGTTTTAAAACCACAATCTCCTTGCCTTTATATTTCAACGTTTTCTCTCTTGCCACTTGTAATATTTGTGTTTTAATGGCTTTTTTTTGTAAATCTGATGTGAACTTCTCTTGGTAGGTTGTTTCTCATCGCATATCTTGTAAAAACTCGGCATACCTCATCTACTCCATCCATCATCTTCTCCTCTGTTATTTCCAAAGCTTCAGCCAGTATTTCTATCATTATCGCAGCTAGATTTTGTCCTTTTTCTTCATCTATATTTTGAAATCTGAGATAAAATTCTGATCTGTCCATCTCCCACTTCAGCATCCCACTTTTATCTTGTTCAACCACTATTAATCTACTGTCAATGTTTCCAATCTTCTTGTCTCTTTGTTTATCTTCTTCTTCAATTTTTTGGAATCTCTCATCATACTTCGCCATCATTTGTTGAATATTTTCAATTTTTAAATCGGTCTTCCCTGTTCTTTGTTCGATGTTCTCTGTTCTTTGTTTAATGTTCTCTATTCTCTTTTCAATGGTGTCTGATTTTGTTTTGAGGTCTTGGATTCCTTGCATAATCATCTGTAGAGTCACTTTTTCTTGTTCTTTATCTTGCTTTAACATTGTCTGAATTAAACATCCTCCAGATGGTGGGGAGGCGGAAGTAGAAGTTGAGGCACCAGAAGGTATGAGTTTCCTACTCATTTTGAATGATTCAAAATCTTCAAATTCTTTTAGACCTTAATCTGATTAGTAAAATAGCCAATTATAATCCAAGATGGGAAATAAAAGTGGCAGAGAGTAGAAGGCCCAATGGTAGTAAAAAAAAAGGAAAGAAAAATTCTTCAGGTTCTTCTGAACCTTAATCCAATTATGAAATAGTCAATTGTAATCCAAGATAGAAGATAAAAATAATAAGAAGAAAAAAGCCCAATAATAATAAGAAAAGGATGAGAGAAAAATTTCTTCAGGTTCTTCACACCTTAATCCAATTAAGAGGTCTCAAAAATAAAAATAAAAAAACCATAAAAGTAAACCAAAAATATGGATGGAAAAAGCAAAAATCCCAATGAAAAAAGAAAAAGGAAAAATTCTGAGGCTTTCCCTTTAAAATAAAAAGCAAAAGTAAAAATATTACAAAAATAAAGGTTTTTTTTAAAAAGAAAGGAGTACAGTAGAGCTGGTAAGGAGGGGTAACACAACTAAAAAAAAATAAAAAGAACACACTGCACTTTATTTAATTATCCAAGGCTCTTGTTATGGCTCTCTTCTCCACAAGCTTCAAAGCCAGGCTTCAATTGTTGATAGAAGTCCAGAAGAACACCTGTAATAACACTCTCCCCTGCTCTTCCCTCTATCTTATCAAGTTGCAATGTCCTTGAAAGGGAGTCTTTCACAGTTCTCTCAACTTCAACTAAAATATTTTCAAGCCTCTAGTTGGTAGTGTTACAAAGTTTCTTTGTTCTCACTTTCCCCCTCCTTTCCCAGACAGGACGTAATAGAAGTTAAAAAAAAAAAGGAGAGAAAATATATATATATATATATATATATAAAGAAAAATAACTAAAGGGAGCCTCTAATCTAAAAAATTAAAAAATCAAAAAAGAGAAGAAAAAATAAATATATATAAAAGAAAAACCAGTCCAGTTAACAAATGCTAAATCGCGATAGAAGTCCAGTAATAAAGAAAGTAAAAAAGTAAAAAGCCAAGCCTCACTTTGACGTTTGCATTTAAAAACTGCCGCTTATTCAGTTCTGTCAAAACTTTTACAGATTTTTTCTTTTTCTTAGGGTGTCCTTTTAAATCTCAGAATAATGGTAAAAAAAAAAAAGTTCTCACCAAGCCGACACACTTTCTCTTCCAGTCTCTTCCGTTCCGGAGCTGTCCCAACTTCAGCAGCTTTATGGCTGCCTCTCCGCCGCTGGCAAAAAGGGCTTCTCCTGAATCGACCAGGGACTTTGCGATATCCCTGGGATCCACAGGATGTGCCCTTCACTATCACCGTCTCTATGGGACGTTTTAGGTCTGTTTGGACCGACCAGGGGCAAAGATATCGGCTGCAATCTCAGAGCCCCGAGATTGCAAGCTGTATCGTCGCGATGTCAGCTCCGCCCCCTCCTCTTCTCATAGCATATCTTGTGAATACTCAGAATACTTCATCTATACCATCCATCATTTTCTCTTCAGGTATCTCCAAGGCTCCTGCCAAGATTTCTACCATTATTCCTGTTAAATTTTCTCCCTTTTCTTCTTCAATATTCTGGAATCTCAGGTAGAATTCAGCTCTCTCTATCTCCCAGCCCAGCATTCCTTTTCCCTTGTCCTGTTCCACCATTGTCAATCTATTATCTATTTTTCCAATTTTTTTATCTGTCTGGTCTCCATGTTGTTCTTTTTTTTTAAATCTCTCTTCATACTTCATCGTCATTTGTTCTTTCCATCTATTCTTTCCATCCTATCTTCCAGATGTTTACCTTGATCTTGTATTAATTGCACTATCATTTGTAGTGTCACCTCCTTCCCCTTTTCCTTCTCCTTGTCCTTGTCCTTCTCCTGCTGCAGCATAGTATGAAGATTCTGCTGTGAGTTTGGACTTAGAGAGGAGGTTGTTTTCTTCATCATTAATTAATGATTAATTGTAGTCCCAATCAGAGGTGTTGCATAAAACAACTATCTTCAGGTTCTTCTAACCCTAATCCAAAAAGCGAGAACAATTAAAAAACAGAGAAAATTCCCAAAGAAAAAAAGAAAAATGCAAAAAGGAAAGGGGAAAAGAAAGAGAAAAAATATCAAAAAGGAAAAAAGGAAAGAAAAAGGAAAAAGACAGAGCTAAGTCAGGGAGCTAGACCTCAGGCCTTCTTTAAAAAAGAGAGAGAAGAAAAAAAGTTTATAACCAACAGCAAAGCCAAAATCAGGCTGATGATTTAACAACAAAAAGTTTCCAGTTGCAGACCAAAATAAGTCATAAAGTTACTTCCACCATACACTGTTCAAAGCCTAATATCTAATATCAAGTTGCAATGCTATTCAGCAAGAGTATAGTCCAAGGTGACACCAATCTTGACTCTTTCAACTTCATTCTCCAACTGCTGGAGTTATTTTCAAAGAGGAACACCTGTAAAAACATTCATCCAGTGCTCTTCTCTTTAGCTTAATAAAAACAACTGGTGGAGGAGGCAGAGCCAGCTGTCAGGGAGAAGGGACATGTAAGCAGGTAGCTCTGTGAAATGCGGACCCTATCCCCATTCTGCAGGACTCTACAGAGTTTAAAGGAAGCTTGGAGGGCTTCCTTCGGAGACAGGTCTCCGAAGATAAACTACGAATGGCGGTCCATGGTGGAAATTGGGGTAAACCAAGGATGAGCGGATGGTGGAGCGGACGACCAATAATGGCTGTCCATGAGCGCTGACAGCTGGTCATACAAGCGGTGAACTAGCGGAACGAAAGTACAGCTAAACTAACAAAAGTAACAACCTGAAAGTGAATTAGAAATTAACTTAAGAGGAGGCGCAAAACAATTGTATTGAAATGTAGCTGGGCAGTCGGAGTCAGCTTTTGTTAAGGAGGTGACAGAGCGGCGAGATACATGACAAGCAGAACGAGTGGAAGATTACTGAAAGCCAAACGAGAGACAGGGGTGGAGAAATAATTGGCTGCTTAACTGTTAAGTTTTGCTTTGAGATTGAAATATACGATCGGATCGGGAGACAGCGGAGTCTCTGTTAGACAGACGCTGTGAAAGTAAGAGTGATTTGGACCGGAGAATTAGAAGGCTGATTGGTGGAAGTGCTGATCATTAATGGTGGACTGGAGGATTATCCTTGCTTACTTTTCCTTTTTGGAACTTAGACTGTGATTTTGGAGTGACTCAGCAAGAAAAAAAAAGAAAAAAAGGTTTTTCTAAGAAAATGGACGCTGGTTGGAGAATGACACAGCGAATCTAAAGAAGACAGAGAGACATTGTATCAAGAAGGAGACATCTACTGGTAGCAGAGAGGGGAAAAAGCAATATTTTGCAACGAAGTTAAAAAGGAGAGAATGGTGACTGCTAGAGGACTGGACCTTTCCTTTTTTGATTATTTTCTTCCTCTTTTTGTCACAGGGCGAAGACATTTCAGGAAGAACTCAGACTAACAAATCTTATTGATGCCTTCTTTAATAACTATCTAATTGAAAGTGAATTTATTAGTTACCCTCCTCTTTCTCTGTTCTCTCTCTCTCTCCCCTTTCCCTTGTCTTCTTTTCCTTCCTTCCCTGCTTTTGTTTTTCCTTCCTTTTCCTTTTTTTTTCTTTTCTTTCTTTTTCTTCTGACATTATTAAAAACTGCTAAGGGGTTTCAGAGATTTGAAAAATTGATATATTTAAATATTTGCTAATAGATGTTGCATCAGGGGTTTAACATAACTAAAAAGTATTATTATTATAAAGTATATTTTTGTAGAATTAACGAAAGTAGTTATTTAATAGACTTATAAGCTTGGTTAAATAAGATATTATAGCACTATTGTTAATATTAACGTATTATATATTTAAAAGAAATTGAAGAGAGAAATTTGATAATTTAAGGCTGTTATAGATTACTATAGAAATTGATTATTGGAGGAGGATAGTAGGAGAATTAGAGTGATACTGTGTTACTAAAGGGAAGGAGGACAGGAGGGGGAGGGAGGGGGGTGAAGTGCGGGGGAGGTGGAGGGATTGGGGAGGAGGGAGAGAAGGTGGGAGAGGTGGATTAAAAATAATATAGTGACAAGACTGTTTAATGTGACAAGCACCTCAAATGTATCTAGGATTGGTACAGTTAGGAAAATACCCACACAAACGATGACTACAACAGCTACGGCAAGCCCTTCCACACAGAGGGCTATTGATGAAATGCTTCCAAAAGAAAGATCAAACTCTATAAATGACTTACAAAGCTTGATGATGAATATTCAAGAGATGATGCTTAAAAACCATGAGGATATGAAGAATGAGATGGGGGCAGTGAGATCAGAATTAAAAGAAAAGATACAAAAGATAGATGAAAAATTTGAAGCTTTTCAACAAGAGGTTAGGGAAAATCAGAAAAAAATTGTAGAAATTGAGACAAAGATGGGTAAAGAAGAAAAAAGGGTAGATGACTTAACGGATAAACCAGGAAAAGCTAACAAAGAATTAGAGACAACAGTAATTTTTTTGGAAGTAGAAAAGGCAGCTCATTACCTAAGATTTCAAAATGTGAAGGAAGAGAAAGGAGAAAATTTATTTGCTGTGATGGCTGATATACTGGCAAAGATATTAGAGATGGATAAGGAAGAGATATTTACAGAGATAGACAAACTCTATAGAGTTCAAACAAACTATGCAAGAAGGTTTAACCTCCCAAGAGAAGTCCACATCAGACTAGTCAAAAACTCCATGCGAGATGAAATTTTACACAAGAGATGAACCACTTGAGTATGCAGGTAAACAATTAACTGTCTTAAAGCAAATTCCAAAGAGGGTAAGAGATTTAAGGAAGCCATACCAGTTTTTAACATCAAAACTGATAAAAAATAACGTAAATTTTAGATGGTTGGTGCCGGAGGGTATCATGGTAACATGGCAGGAAAAAAGATTTAGGCTGGATACCCTTGAAAAAGGGGAAGACTTCTTTGATCAACAATTTACTAGGGAAGATGAAAAAGAAGGTAAAAGGAAAGTAAAAAGGAAAAAATTGTTTAAAAATTTACAGGCATTAAAGGTTGACATAATAGCACTTCAGGAACTACATATCTTAGAAAAACAAAAATATTTATTAAAAAATAAAAAATTAGGGAAATTTTTTTTCTGCTCTTGATGTACAAAAGGAAAGAGGGGTAGCATTTTATATAAAGGAATGGATCCCTGCTAAAGAAATTTATAAAGATAACAAGGGTAGGATTCTGATGGTCGAAATTGAATTAGGAAATAGAAATATCTTATTGGTAGTAATACCAATAAGTAATTCTTGCCCACAAGAATCTTTTTTCCAAAAATTGTATTATAGACTCAAAGAGTTGCAATATGAAGAAATCTGTATTATGGGGGACTTCAATGCAGTTGTTGACAAATCATTAGACTATAAGGGGAACAATACCAAATTAGGGGAAAAAAAGAAAGAAAAAAAAACAAAAAGTTTTTTTGATTTCAGGAAGGATTTTAATATTTGTGACCCATGGAGAGAAAGAAATTTGGAGAAAAAACAATATACATATTATTCTAATCGGTAGCAGTCAAGGTCAAGACTCGATATGACACGGATGACCAATAAATTAAATTCAGAATTAATTGAAATTAGTATTGAACCAAATTTTCTGGCAGATCATAGTATGATTAGTTTTAGATGGAAGGGCCAAAAGCAAAGTACAGGATGGACACTCCAAAGATCAATCTTAAGAGAGGAAATATTTAATATGACACTAAAAAAAGAATTAGAATTTTTCTTTGATGAAAATAAAGAGGAATATACCTCCCCACAAAATAATTGGGATATGGTCAAAGCAATGATAAGAGGAGTAGCAATAAAATATATGGCAAAAAAAAAATAAAGTGTTGAGGTATTCCCCGTTAGGAGAATGAGTGCACTCAGGGAAACGTAGTGAGAGTGGTGTTGAATAACAAACAACCAGCATACAGATACACTGAATAGTAAAATGTAGGTTTTACTTCCAATAAACAGGTAAACAAAGTCAAACAAACAATCCAAATCACACACAGTTAAAGCAGTTAGTATCAGTCCAGGGATAATTCAAAAACAAAGTCCAGTATCATAAACAAAGTTCAGTAAACGGAGTTTGCGAACAGTTGCAAGACTCACAGCAATCCAAGCAGAATGACGTTCGGGCAAAAGGGAAAATGCAAAGAGATCAAACCAGGTTTCTGGCTCCATCTTATGGCCGTTGGAGGAACCTCAGCCAATCACAATTACAACATTCTCTTAAAGATACAACAGTATTAAATGACTATCCTGGTTTATATACTGTCAACCCAACTGTTAGGTGACTATCATTCCTAACATTCTCCCCTTTGGGTAGGACAATATATAAAACCTTACAGTTGAAGTCCATATTCCTCACAGCAAGCGTTATGGTTTACAGTGCCTTGGGCTTTTGTAAAATGATCTGCAATGTTATTCTCTGACATGCATTACTCCAGTATTATCATTTTACTTTGAACACATTGTCTTACATTTAGATATCGTAGACAGGTGTGTTTTGATCTTGTCTTTACAGCGAGATTGGAAGCCATCTGAATTGCTGATTGGTTGTCTTCATGTACAACAATAGGTTCCTTTACATCAATTCCCATGTCTATCATTAGTTGTTTATAACATACTAAGTCCGTACATAATAGAGACAAACATGAGAATTCAGCCTCCATTGTTGATAAGCTTAGATGTTTTTGTCGAATAGACCGCCATCCAGTTAACACCTTTCCTAATAACACTACAGTACCTGACGTTGATTTACGTGTAGGTACGTCTGTAGCAAAACTTGCATCAGCATATGCGGTTAAACTCAGTTCATCCTTAGGCTCCAAATATAATGCATAATGCATCGTTTGTTTAAGATATCTCAACACATGTTTAGCAGCTTGCCAGTGCCTTTCAGTAGGCTCAGTATTAAACCTGGCTAATTGGTTGTCACAATATGCTATGCCTGGCCTAGACCAATTACTAAGATAGGATAAGCTACCAATCAATGACTGATAAATGTCTTTATCAAAAACAGGACTTTGCACATCACTGTGGCTAAACTGGCTCATTGGCATCTTAGCTGGCTTACAAAGTTCCATTATAAAGTTCTTCGGTAACTGGTTAATTGTATCTGCCTGTGAGATTTTGTAGCCTCCCTTAGTTTTTTCTATTTTCAAACCAAGATACTGTTTAATCTCACCTAAATGTTTGATTGTAAATTTCTCCTCTAACAGTGAAATAATCCCAGTAGCTTCTTGACCAGTCTTAGTGATTAATGCTGTGTCATCAGTGAACAATAGCAACAATGAAATTACACCATCAATTTCCTCTTTGAATAAACATGGATCAGCCATGCCAGGTACAAAACCTATCTTTGTTAATTCCTTCACTATGCACTGGTTCCATTCATAGCCTGATTGCTTCAAGACATAAAGACTCTTTTTTAATCTCCAGCAATCAGTTTTGTTATCAGTTTTTATCACCAAAGGTTTCTTTAAATATATAGTATGTGTTAGGAATGTCACCTAACAGTTAGTTGGGTTGGAAAATATATAAACCAGGATAGACATTTTAATACTGTCTCTTTAAGAGAATGCTAAAACTGTAATTGGGTGTGGTTCCTCAAACGGCCATAAGATGGAGCCAGAGACCTGGGTTGTTTAGGTCCTGTTCTGTTCTCTTCTGGAGAGTGTTGCTGTTCCTATTGACTGTTATTCTTGGATTTGATGTAAGTCTGTTACTGAACTGTTTTTGATACTGGACTTTGTTATTTGGATTATCCCTGGACTGAAAATTGACTGATTTTACCTGTGAATGACTTTTGGATTGCTTATTTTGGACTTTGCTTAAACGTTTTTACTAGAAGTAAAAACCTACATTTTACTGTACAGTGTATCTGTGTGCTAGTTGTGTGTTATTCTTCACCACTCTCACTAAGGCTCCCTGTATGCGCTCATTCTCCTAACAGGGAATTACCTCAACACTGGTTATGGGCCCAGGCCATACCAGACTCAGATAACTGAGAGTTGGAGTGAATGCACAGTACTGTGTACAGACAGCTGTTTACTGTTTAATTGTGGGTTACTATCCTGGTAAAGATGGCACAAGACCCGTCAACAAATCTATCACTGATAACCGGGTTGAATCGAACAAACTTTGTTTCCTGGTCTATGAAGTGCAGTCTACTTCTGCGTAGAGAAGGGTTATGGGCTGCAGTTCAAGATCCACCGGATGTAAATGTTTGGGATCCAGAAAATGAGGAAGATGCCAAGAAGCTTGCTAACTTTAAACGGACCAATGAACGAGCTCTTTGTATAATTGGACTAACACTGAGTGACCAGCAGCTAGTCCATATTCGTGGAGAAGAGTCTGCTGCTAGGTGTTGGGAGAATTTGAAGAGGATTTATGTTTGTGACAGTGTAGGTGCACACATACATCTTACATGTAAACTGTTTAGAGCACGTCTTCTGAAAGGTGGAGATATGTTAGCTCATTTGAACTTCATGAAAAGAACTTTTCAAGAGCTACATGAAAAGGAACTGATATTTTCAGAGCTGCATCAAGTTTACATCATTCTTTCCTCATTGGATGAAAGTTATGATGATTATGTATCTTCACTGGAAGTCCTGACCAAAGATGAACTGACATTGACTGACATAACTGGAAGGTTGTTAGAAGAAGCAAGAAGACGGCTGAATAGGGACCAACTGAGGAAGGAACAACCACAAAAAGAGGATTTGTCTTCAACTGCCTATACTGTTAGGAAATGTTTTTCTTGTGGGGCTAGGGGACATATAGCTAGATTCTGTAAGAAGGGAAAAAGACAGTATACTGGTAATCACCAGAAGGCTAAGAAGAATGTTAGTTTAGCTATGTCTAGCAATTCAACTGTAAACCATGATTTGTGGGTTGTTGATAGTGGAGCATTACAGTGCATTACTAAAGATAGAGAGAGGTTTGTAAAGATGTCTACGAGTAAGCTTATGTATCATTGGCAAATGGATGGAAGATGAAAGCATCTGGTGAAGGTACTGCATATTGTTCTTGTGTAAATGAGCATTTACCTATGTTATATGTACGTAAACTGAAATTTAATTTGCTATCAGTAAGGGCTTTAGTTAATCTTGGTTATGTAGTTACCTTTAGGGGAGATAACTGTACAATAGGGAAAGAGGGTAAAAGTGTTACTGCTACTTTAGAGAATGATTTATATGTGATACATGATGACCAGTTGAAAATGGCTAACTCGGTTTATGTATACATTTACTACATAGACGTCTAGGGCACATTAATTTCAAAATGTTGAAACAAACTGTTGAATTGTCAGAGGGAGTAAAATTGAAACCCTGTAGCAAGTATTTAAACTGTAATGCCTGTAGCCAAGAGAAAAGCAAGGTTATTCCAGCAAACAGACCAAATGGGTTTAAGACCAAAGAACCTTTAGAGGTTGTTTTTGCTGACATAACTGATCCTAAGAAACCTAGTTTGGGAGGTGCCTGCTATATTTTGAGTATAATGGACCATTACTCAAGGTATGGTTTCTGCTATCTCATGAAAAACAAAACAGAAACATTCCAACATGTCTTTAACTGGCTAAGATTTGCTGAGAGAAAAATGAGGAGTAAAGTAATTACTTTAGTTACTGATAATGGGACTAAGTTTGTTAACAAGAGATTCCAAACTATGTTGAAATTGGCTGGTGTTGAGCATAAACGTTCTGCACCTTACAGACCACAACATAACTGAATGAAGAGGGCAAACATTACAAGCCATGGCTCGCTCTATGTTATCTGATTCAGGTTTGCCTGAAACACTGTGGGGTGAGGCCATAATGTGTAGCAATCATGTGTTGAACAATGCAGTGAACACAGCAACTGGAGAATTGCCATTCACTCATTGGCATGGCAGAAAACCAAATTTAAGTTACCTACACACATTTGGAGCTCCAGCATGGGTGCATATTCCCTCACAAGTAAGACTGAAAGGGCAACATAGAGCTAAGAAGTTATTTTTTGTAGGTTATGAGGCCAACCATAGATCGTTTAGATTGTGGAATCAAGGCGCAGTTCATGTTTATTGTAGTGCTAATGCAAAATTTCTTGAGCACGTTGGGTGGGATAAACTGGAACAGGAATCCAGCAATGATATTATTATTGACACCCAAATAGTCCCTAAAGATGAAATAAGTAAACCATGAATAGCCATTAAAGAGGAAGAACAGGCACAGGAGGAAGTAGAACAGGCACAGGAGGAGATAGGAGAACAGGAGCAGGTGGAACAGGTGAGTCCACCAGTTAGCCCTGTATTACCAAGATGTTCAACCCAAGTAACACGACCACCTGACTGATATCAGGCTAGTGTTGTATGCCAAGTGAATACAGTTCCAAGTAATTATAGTGAACTAAAAATGTATCCTGCTAAGGATCAGGCTGCTTGGCAGGAAGCAATGTATAAGGAACTGGAATCATTATAAAAGTTGGAGGTATATGAAAATGTTCAGTTACCACCAGGTAAACATGCCATAGAATGTAAATGGATTTATAAGCTAAAGACAGGTGTAGATGGGACTGTTACTCATAAAGCCAGGTTAGTAGCACAAGGGTTCAATCAGACAGTAAACAACTGTGATGAGGTTTTTATGCCTAGTCTGAAGGCTACTACATTAAGGGCAGCATTAGTGTGGGCAGCTAAGGAGAAATACATTATAAATCATTTGGATGTAGAGACAGCATATCTGCATGCACCATTGCAACATACCTTTAGGTATCAAAAATGATAATACAACTGATTGCTGGAGATTGAAAAAGAGTCTTTATGGTTTGAAGCAATCAGGATATGAGTGGAACCAGTGTATAGTTAAAGAATTAACTAAGATAGGTTTTGTAGCTGGCATGGCTGATCCATGTTTGTTCAAAAGAGAAAGTAATGGTGTAGTGTCATTGTTGCTATTGTTTACTGATGACATAGCATTAATCACCAAAACTGAACAAGAAGCTTCTAAAATAATATCACTGTTAGAGAAGAAATTTAAGATAAAACAGTTAGGAAAAATTAAACACTATCTTGGATTAAAAATAGATAAAACTAGGGGAGGATACAAAATCTCACAGGCAGATAAAATTAACCAATTACTAAAAAGTTTTAAAATGGAACTTTGTAAACCGGCTAAAACACCAATGAGCCAGGAGTTTAACCACAGTGATGTTCAAAGTCCTGTTTTTGATCAGAACATTTATCAGTTCTTGATTGGTAGTTTATCTTATCTCAGTAATTGGTCAAGGCCAGATATAGCATACTGTGTTAACCAATTTGCGAGGTTTAATACTAAGACAACTGAAAGGCACTGGCAAGCTGCTAAGCGTGTGTTAAGATATCTGAAACAAACAGTGCATGATGCATTGTTTTTGGAGCCTAAAGATTAACTGAGTTTAACTGCATATGCCAATGCAAGTTTTGCTACAGACATAAATACACGAAAATCTACATCGGGTACTGTTGTATTATTGGGAAAGGTGTTGATTGGATGGAGGTCTATTCGACAGAAACACTTAAGTTTGTCAACAATGGAGGCTGAATTCTCATGTTTGTCTTTATTATGTACAGATTTAATTTGTTATAAGCAACTATTAATTGATATGGGAATTGATGTAACAGATTCTATTGTTGTTTATGAAGATAACCAATCAGCAATACAGATGGCTTCAAATATTGCTGTTAAGACAAGATCAAAACACACAGATTTAAGATATTTAAATGTGAGAGAATGTGTGCAAAGTAAGATGATTAAGCTGGAATACTGTCTGTCAGAAAACAACATCGCAGATCATTTTACAAAAGCCCAAGGCTCTGTAAAGCATAAGGCTTGCTGTGAGGATTATGGACTTAGAATGTAAGGTTGTATATATTGTCCTACCCAAAGTGGAGAATGTTAGGAATGTAAGTCACCTAACAGTTAGTTGGGTTGGAAAATATATAAACCAGGATAGACATTTTAATACTGTCTCTTGAAGAGAATGCTAAAACTGTAATTGGGTGTGGTTCCTCAAATGGCCTTAAGATGGGGCCAGAAACCTGGGTTGTTCTGTTGTCTTTTTCTGGAGAGTGTTGCTGTTCCTTCTTGACTATTGACTGATCATAGTTCTTCTTGGGTTTGATGTAAGTCTGTTACTGAACTGTTTTTGATACTGGACTTTGTTATTGGATTATCCATGGACTGAAAACTGACTGCTTTAACTGTGAATGACTTGGACTGCTTGTTTCGACTTTGCTTAACTGTTTATTGGAAGTAAAAACCTACATTTTACTATACAGTGTGGCTGTGTGCTGTGTGTGTGTTATTCTTCACCACTCTCACTACGTCTCCCTGTGTGCACTCATTCTGAGCCGAGCACGACAGATACTCCCTATCCTGTGGTAGACCTGCCCCTGCACTTTGAATGTTGCCATAAAATTTCCCTCCTTCACCTCTCTGGCTCCAAAAGACATCATTTGGAAGCATCCATTGTACTTCCGGACAGCAAAAAGAAAGTGGTTTGCCATTGGGTGCTACTGAGTGAGAAGGCTGTGTAAGAGTTCAGGGTAGAGCTGAAGGGGAGGGAGGTGGACTTTACAGCCACTGTAGCATATCCCAGGACTCTCATCCTGCCACTTTAGAGCACGGCACCAGACACCAGGTAACTGTGATCTGATATCAACAAGCTTTTCCCTGGAATAATGAATCTGAGGGTCATATTGAAAACCAGACAAATACTTATTGGTCCAAGGCACTGATCTCATTTGTGACTGATTAACGTAGGGGTTATCAGATGTATAGATCTTTACAGCCTGTTCAGGGGTGGGATTCAAATTTCTTAACAAACTTTTCTTTGGGCATGGCCTAAATTGTGGGTGTGGCTTGGTGGTCATGTGACTGGCTGGGTGTGGCTTGTATGTAAATATTGTAAATATTTATGTAAATATTCAATTTTGTATTTAAAAAGATCAACTTTTACCCAAAATCAGACAAAACAGGCAGGCAGATTGAGTTGCTTGTAGAATCACAGATTCACTCACAGATCTACCTTTCTGCAATCTGCTGCCTGAGTCTGTCACATAAAATTTGCTTGCACGCAAACTCATAAAATTCGCTAGCAAGTAAACTCAAAATTAACTCACAACCTACCATGTATGTAAATATTGAATTTTTTTATTAAAAAAGAGCAACTTTTACCCAAAATCAGGCAAAGCAGGCAGGCAGATTGAGTTACTTGCAGAATCACATATTCACTCACAGTTCTACGTTTCTGAAAAATAGAAGCTTCAGTCCTAAGGAAGGTTCAGCTCTGCTCTCAGGCCACTTCTCCCAACTCCTTGAATACCACCCCTGACTGGGGCCTAAGGGAAGCCTCCTGGGCGAAGGGAAAGCAGTACAACAGTGATTTAGATTAGCTAGAAAGCAAGAAATCCAATGATTTCCTGCTTTCTAGCTAATCTAAATTGGTGGAACAGCTGATAGTCAAAACAGCTGATTGTCGGGGGGAAGGAAAAATAGCAACTTACCAAAAATTAGGCAAAGGCACAACGCAGGCAAGTTGGATGGCGCGCATGTGAGGTAAGGAGTGACTGGGCAGGGTGGGCAACGGCGGGCGGAGAGGGGTGGGGCCAGCCAGTGGTACAATTTGCTGGTTCTCCAAACTGCACAGAATTGTAATAGCTGGTTCTATAGAACCGGTCTGAACAGGTAGAATCCCACCCCTGTGCCTGTCTACTGACTTGGGGATGAGTTTGACTATACTTGTGTGTAGCTTCCCTTACTTGTGTTTTCCTAATAGCATCTGTAAATCTTTTTCTGCATTTTTTGCCTCTTTTCCCTTTAACTTGTGTTACAGTAGAAGGAACAAATTTGTCTGAACTGAGAAGGAAAATAAGGGTGGGGGGAATCTGCCTCTGCCTACCAGTATCCATTGGTATTCATCTGGCTAGCATCCTGGCAGTGTGTGAGAGAGTTGAGGGGTGTTTGGAAACTCAAACAGTATTTGTTGTGTGAGCAAGAAGGAAACAGCAAGGAGCCTGGGTGTGGCTTAGCTGAACTGTTCTGTAGTAAAAGTGCTTGCTGCTGTGAAAGTAAAACTGGAACAGAAACTCCTCTGCTTGTGTTTTGCATTTGGAAGAGATTTCTTTTCAGGTGGGGAGAGGGAGTAGAACTCCTTAGCATCAGAGCGTGTTAAGAATAATATAGGAAATACTAATGCTCTGATGGTCATTTGGAAAAATCCTTTCTTAGTGAGCACCTAGAAGCCAAGAGAAACATACGTTTGTAGGCTTTACGGTTCTGGAGATTTTGTAATGACGCATATGTGCTTTTTCACTTTTATATATATAGATAAACCATTTCTAACACAATGTCTTTGAAAATAACTGTGTATCTTACTTCTCTCATACCATAAAAAAGCATGCCAGCCGAATTGCAGATCATGCCCCTCAACAACCTTGCATTCCTTAAGACAATCCATTCTTTCATCCATGTTAAACTGCGGCCTGATATTATAATTCCCAGTTAGGTAACCCAAACCCTCCTCTGATTCTTGCATCCTGTGGCATTTTAAAGTTAATTCTTGCTTTCTTCCCTCGCCATGTATATTTCAATATTATTCTGTTAATATCATCAAAAGATTTTTTTCTCCAGCTTTATTGGGATTGTTTGGAACAGATATAGTAATTTCGGTAATGTATTCATCTTAATCATTGCAATTCTTCCTATTAATGATAGTTGCATGTTACCCCATTTTTCCAAATCTGTCTTAATTTGTTCCAATTTATAATAATTATCTTCCTTAATCATTCCACAACTAGCCATTAATTGAATCCCCAAGTATTTCACTTTCTTTGTGATCTGGATATCTAGTCTATCCATTAACTCTCTTTTCCGTTTCTCTGTCATATTTTTTAACAAGATCTTAATTTTCACTTTGTTTATTTTCAATCCTGCCACTTTCCCATATTCTTCTATCTTATTTATCAACTTAGGCCCTGTTCCTAGTGGTTCTTCTAGTATAAAAACCAAAGCATTTGCAAATGTTTGTAATTTATATTTTTCCTATTTCCATACCTTTTGTTTCCTTATCTTTCCTAATATTTCTGTTTAACATTTCTAAAGTTAGTACAAATAGTAATGGTGAAAAGGGACACCCTTGTCTTGTTCTTCTTTTTTTAAAAAAATAAACAAAACATATAAAAAACATTGAACATGGTGGAGTCATTTTGACATAACTTTTTGTCATCATTCTAGTGAAATATAGTAGAATATAAATATAAGCTAGGGACGGAGCCAGCTGTTAGAGAGGGTGGAAGTGTGAATGGATGACTCTATCTCACCAAACCACTTTTCCTAGTGTTCGTGGGACTCTTGGAGTCAGAGGAAATCCTGGAGGGATAGCCAAAGGTGTGGGCATCTCATTGGATGTTTGCAAGCAGTGGCTCATGGCTGGCAACAAGTGAAAAACCCAATACGAGTGGACTGAGCAGACCAGGAAGAAGATAGCCAGCAATGGCTGACTGGAAGATCTGACAGAGGGACAAAACAAGTGGTGAGATAGCAGAATGATGGTGGAGTGGTTTTGATGAAAGTTTTCCCCAGGCTTCTACTAGCAAAGATGTTAAAAGGAGCACTCTTTATTTAAATGCGGAGTGAATTCTGGCAGAAGGGAAAGCCCGGACTGGATGAGTGGGAAGCGGCAAGAAGGTCTGTGGCAGGAGGATTGATTGATTGAAGGAAAGCCAGAGAACAAGCAGACAACTGAGTCAGCTGTAAGTTTGGGCAGAGAGAAAAGAAAACGTGTCTGGAAAAGAGCTGCGATGAGGAAGTGAGAGACTGGTTGATTGGAGTAAAGGGATATTTTACAAGAAGAAAGAGGAGTGCGAGACTGAGTTCTAATAACTCTTTGATAAGCGGACAAATTTTTGAAACAAGATGGAGTTGTTATAAGTGACACTGCAGTATTTGATGGATCTAACAAGATGTGAGACACCTACTGGCAGTAGACGAAGAAGATCGGTAACAGTGGAACTGGAAAGTATTTCAGATAAATTTGGATTCTAGAAATTAAAAGGTGACTGTGAGACAACTGGAAAATTTTTAATCTTTTTAAGGAACAATTTAAATACAGTCAACTTGTCACTGAAGAATTAGTGCTTGTTAGGAATAACATAGGTTACCTAACGTAGTTTGGGTAAAATAATATATATAAACTATGATTGTAAGTTTAAGTGTGTGTCACTTTAAAACTGCAAAGCATGTAATTTTGGGTGTGGTGTGAAACCACCATAAGAGGGAGCAAGAGAACCTGACGATTCCCTGACAATTACTGGATTGCATGGATTGATGGTTTGTTAACTGCGTGTTTCCCCTACTGCTGAGTTGCTGAAGGAAGAGAGGAGTTTTTGACTTCTTCATATCTCTACTGCAAGGAGATATATTACTGGACTGATATTTGTAAGTTTACTGACCTCTCTTTTTCGACACTGGAATTTGCAACTGAATAATCCCTGGACGGACTGGACTAGTGAATGATATATGGACTGTTTTGACTATGCTATAACTCTTACCGGAATAAACTATTTAATTAGCACTGTGTATCTGTTTTACTGAGTGTAAGCTACAAAAACGTTTATCTCACATATTTTTGCCTGCCTGCCTGACTGCCATGCAGATTCTGCTAGGGTGTATCCCTAACAGTGCTGTTTACATTATACTAATTATACTAGTTTAATTAATTCAATGAATTCAACTTAATAATAATTCAGTTTAACCTAATTTAAGTCAACTGAACTTAAGGTGCAAACAAGATCAATAGAATATTAATATAGTAACACAATTAAATATATTTGTATAAATTGTAAGATATAATATTTATATTATAAGAATTGTGATTTGTACTTCAGCTGTGTGAAAAAGTCCTGCACGCTTTCAGTTTTAAGCTGTATTTACATGTTTAATCAACTTTTCACTCATAGAAACCAGGCAAAATTAGTACTTTGATGAAAATTTCTGTAGTCGGATTGAGATGCATAATTTTTATTAATATAACCAAAGTCTTTTTAAGGTTTTGAGTGAGTTTATTTGCTAAAACAAACACAACTTGCATTTTCAAGAATGTTAGGATCAAAAGTAGCCAATCAACAGTGAGCTTTGGCTGACCAATCAAAATGCACAGAGGCTAAATCTATAAGCCAATCAAAGCATTGAGAAATTTAATTTAGCTCTGGCTGTGGGCAAGAATGAAGGCCTTTGCTTTCACCAGTACTGGCATCGCATCGTTGTGCTTCATGAAGAGGGTTACTCCTGCACAGAAATAGCCAAGAGAGTGAAATACCATCGCACCACAGTGAGCAGAGTGGTTGAAAAATACCAAATAGCTGGTTCAGTTGATGACAGGCTCCACTCTGGAAGACCAAGAAAGTCAACAAAACAGCAAGATCAGGCTCTGCAACGCATTTCAATGGCTGACACGAAGCTCACCTCACCTCAGATTACAAGAATTTGGGGTGAAACATGTGATGTAAAAGTGTGCACAAGCACAGTGCATCACAGACTGCTTGCCAGAGGGCTCAAAAGCTGCAGGGTTCAAAGTAAACCTTTGCTCACAGACACTCACCGCTTTCATCGACATGCGTGGGCCAAGAAGTATGCCAAGTGGACAAACAAACAGTGGGCCAAGGTCATCTTCAGTGATGAGAGCAATTTCTATTTGACTGGGAATCAGTGCAATAAATATGTCAGTAGATTTCCAGCTGAAGAATTTAGGCCATACCTATCTGTGAAGCATCCATTGCACGTGAAGATCTGGGGCTGTATCACTGCTTCTGGTATTGGTCGGATACAAATCGTGCAAGGAATCATGAATTCCAAGCAGTATGTTGAAGTCCTGGAAAAGACCATGCTTCCTTCAGCTCAGCAACTTGTAGGGAAGGACTTTTACTTCCAGGATGACAATTCTCCTTGTCACCGAGCCAAGTCTGTTCAGCAGTGGATGAAGAAGAGCATGGTGTTCAACTCCTGGATTGGTCAGATCAGAGCCCGGATTTTAACCCAATTGAGAACTTGTGGGCCAAGATTGGTTACAAAATAAGCAAGAAGCATCCAAAGACCAAGCAGGAGTTGATTGAATCCATTATTGCAGCCTGGCATCACATTGTCACCAAAGATCATGTGCAAAGGCTTATACAGTCTATGCCGAAATGATGCTGCCTGGTGATAAGCAATAAAGGCTGGCCAATTTCATATTAGTAACCATGTTTGGTTACCTAAACAGTCCTTTTCAGGGCCACAAACAATAAAAATGTCAACAAAACACGAGCATCGGCCTTAGTAATTGCAACACGTATGCCACTGGGTATGCATCAGTTAATCTGTTTTCATAGTCATTGTAAGCATGCATTGTAAGCATGCAAGAAAATTCACAATCCCCATCCAAACAGCACCAAATTGCAAAAAGCTTATGCTTTTCACTTAAAAACCACCAGTATTTATTTAAATATAACAATATTTGCACAGCAGTTAGCATAAAATATCATAAAATCAATGGCCTATCCAAAAAATGTCATAAACCGTAAAGCGTAAAGCGTGCAGGGCTTTTTCACACAGCTGTAACTTGTGTTCTTGTTATTACTGCAATTAAATTTATATAAGATATTACAGTTAACTAACTATTATTCACTATTACTTATGATTAATAATTGTGATGAATTATTTCTAGATATTTACTAGATATTTAGAGTAACTACTACTTTATTTTCTAAACTATCGTAGAATTAAGACTTGAAAGTATAAACAGTTGCACTGTGAAGGGGAATATAACAAGGTTATTGGCTATAAAGGGTATCACCATAGACATTATATTATAAGAATAAGAAAAGAGAAAGAAAATAAAGAGATAAACAGTGGAAGGGGATAGAGTGAAGAAGAAAAGGTGGGAATATTTGCTAGAAAGTGATTTCTTGAAAAAAAAATCTTGAACATGACGAGCACTACGAATTTGACAAAGATTGGACTAGGAAAGAAAACTATATCAAAGGCCTTGATGATGTCAGCCAGCCCTTTGAGTGAAAAATCTATTGAAGACATGGTACACAAAAAAAAGCGTTGGGTACAGAGAAAGAAGAAACAATAACAAAAATGGATGAAATATACAGAGTACAAACAAATTATGTGAGAAGATATAATTTACCTAAGGAAGTTCATATTAGATTTGTTAAAAAATCAATCCACGATGAAATTTTACACAGAACCAGAGATGAACCGTTGGAGTATCGAGGGAAACAGATGCTGAAACAGGTCCCAAAGAGGATGAGAGACCTTAGAAGACAATACCAGTTTTTGACCTTGAGACTGAATAAGCATAACGTGAACTTCAGATGTCTGACACCAGAAGGGATTATGGTTACGTGGCAAGAGAAGAGGTATAGATTGGACACAATAGAGAAAACAGAGGATTTCTATAAACAATATTTTGACAATGAAGATGAAAGAGAAGAGTTGGAGGAAGAAAGAGATGTAAGGGAAGAAAGAGAGGTGAGAAGACTGACTGCGGAAAGGGAAACACTACCAATTAAAGAGAAGGAGAAGGGAAAAGTAGGAAGGTTAGGAAACTATGAAAGAAGATATGAAGAACCAAGAGAAATTAGATCAACTAGAAGTATAAAACCTAGGTATAACTGACAAAATGGGAGATGAGTGTAAGATTTGGACAATGAATATTAATGGTTTGAATTCACCTGTTAAAAGACAAAAATATTTAATAATTTGAAAAAACAAAACATAGATATGTAGGCCTTACAGGAAGTCCATATTAAAGAATGTCAAAAATTCATATTAGAACAACCAAAGTTAGGACAATTATTCACCTCATTAGATCAACAAGAAAAGAGGGGTAGCATTATATGTCAAAGGTAGATTTCTGGCAAAAAAAAATCTATAAGGATCAGGAAGGAAGAATTCTAATTATAGAGGTGGAAATGAATCATAGGAAAATAATTATAGTTGATATCTATGCCCCAAATGGAAGTCAGGAACATTTTTTAAAAAACCAGCACTCTATAATTTGCAACATAGAATATGAAGAGATATTTATAATAGGGGATTTCAACGCTATTGTAGACAAAGAATTCTAGAAGGAAAGACCCTGGAGTTACTTAAGAGGGCGGAATTATCAAAAATTACAGAGGAGACAAAAATGATGCTTAACAATGAGATTAGGTTGTCCAAGGTAATCTCGGCAATAAACAAAAGAACAATAAGACACCAGGCCCAGATAGTCTTCCGGCGGAAATATATAAAGAACACCAAAACATCTTAACACCATTGTTAAAATGCTTTCGCTTCTTCTGAAACCGTATTAAATACGCCCAGTAGATGTATTTAATACGGTTTTAGAAGAAGCGAAAGCACCACAATCATGACAGGAAGCAAACATAACACTGATACCAAAAGAAGATATGGACCAGTCCTTAATAAAGAATTACAGACCTATATCCCTTCTAAATACTGACTACAAGTTCTTCGCAACAATAATAGCAGATAGATTAAAAAGATTTTTAACCTAATTTATACATGAAGATCAAAATGGATTCCTTCCCAAAAGGAAAATCAACTATAAGAACTATACTTGACATTCCAGAATACTATGAGGTACACAGTGGCCAAAAAATGGCATTACTTTTTCTATACACACAAAAGTCCTTTGATAATGTAAAATGGACATTCCTGCTACAACAAATTAGATACATGGACTTTGGAGAGAATTTTTAAAATATAATTAGAACGATATATTCTGATCAGAAGGCCAAAATAATTATAAACAGAGAGGTAACAAAAAGCTTCAAAATTCAAAAAGGAATTAGACAGGGTTGCCCATTATCTCCACTTTTCATACTTTTCATACTTGTGTTAGAAGTGCTGACTAGAACAGATAAAGGGTCTGGAGATTAAAAAGGAAATATTTAAATTGTAAGCATTTGTGGGTGATTTGGCATTTCTCATGGAAGAACCAGAACAATCCAGACCAAAACTTATAGAGGTGCTAGAGGAATACGTTGCAGTTGCAGATTTAAAAATTAACAAGAATAAAACTAAAATGTTAGTTAAAAACATGACAGAGAAGCAAAAAGAAAGGCTGGCTAAAAGAATGGACATACAGATAACTAAAAAAGTTAAATACCTAGGAATTACCATTTCATCAAGATGTACCACACTCAAAGACTATGATAAACTATGCCAACAAATTAAAGAAGATTTAGAAAGATGGGGCAACCTAAGACTCTCATTAATATCTGCAATCAAAATGAATGTCTTACCAAAATTGTTATTTTTGTTTCAAAATATACTCATAAAACTAAATCTTAATGTTAATATTTTCAGTCAATTCTCCATTTCCCATCACTTTTGCATATTGTTTATAATATATTGCCTTAATCATCTTAATAAACCTTTCCACAAAACCCATTTCTTCCATTTGTGTCAACATAAATTGCCAATTCACATTGTCTATGCCTTCTGCACATCTAAGAAAATCAATGCCATCTGTTTTTCTGGATGCGCTTCGTAATATTTGAAAGTGTTCAGGATTATTCTCATATTGTCTTTTATTTGTCTCTTAGGTAGAAAACCATTTTGGTCTAAGTGTATACATTGGTTCAGAAATCTCTTCAGTCTTTCTATCATTACTGAAGCAAATATGTTGTAATCCGTGTTCAACAATGATATTGGTCTGTAGATTTTAATCTGTTGTAGGTCAAAGTCTTCTTTCGGTATGAGAGTAATGTAAGCTTCCATCCATGAGTTGGGTATTTTAGCCTCCATCAATACTTTATTTAACACTTCCAACATTGTGTTACTAAGGGAGTCTTGCAAAGTTTTATACAATTCTGCTAGTAGACCATCCGGCCCTGGTGCTTTCCCATTATTTTGTCTTTTATTTCTTCTGTTAGTTCCAACATTGTGATTCTTTCCTCTAACATTGTTTTGATTTCTTCTGGTACTTTAGGTAATTCTGCTTTTTTAAAGTATTCTTTAATTTCTCCTTCTAAGACTTGCTCTTGTTCATACAAATTCCCATAATATTTTTCAACTATTTCTTTCTTATCTTCATTTCTGTTGCAAAGGTT